ACAAAAAGAGCACTCAGCTTTAACATTGCAGCCACTCCCATAGAAGAGGGTCGGGGCAAGAAAACAAAATAGTGTAGTCCCTACTTCTACTTATTCTACTATATTATGGCAGCATATTTAGGTATTAATAAAAGAGAAAGCATTTATCATGTAATGCTTAGTAATATAAATTTGATTCTTATTTTTAAAAAAAGTGATAAAGTTAGTTAATATTTTGCCTCAAATTATTTTTCCATGGAGATTTTTCTATTATTTTCTTTTCAAAAGCCAAGGTAATAGAGGAGTAGTCTTCAGACCAACAGTTCTTCCTGCAAGAGACACTTAAAAAAAGGTAAGCCCCTTCAAGCATTTGGTTTTGTGGTGTTTAATCCTACCAGAAATATTTATATTAAATAGGCTCCTAGATAAAATTTGAGAGCTGTATTGCAGCAAGACCAGAATCCTGAACTCCCCTACTCCCAGGTGAATACAAACATAACTATGGTACAGGAGTCAAGGTAGTCTTGCTTAGAGAGATTTTGGCCTTATGAATTTCTCCCTTTCTGCACAGTGAATCTACTTCTACAAGAGGAATGCTCATCAGCTCTGTTTGACCCAAAGCCTGATGGTCACTCCCCTAGTAGGAATTGTGTAGATTTAAATAACTCTTTATATTCAGTAAAATACATTATGGTGGTTGCTGTGAATCGCTTTCTAAAGCATCCAGCTATCTCATTTCAGAGTGACAGGAATTTATGCACCTAGATCAAGTTTTGATCTGTACTCCTGGGCTGGGTGGTTAAAACATTAAATTTGGCAATGCTCAGCATGGACAAGCCAAGATAATTTTGCAAAGATACCTGAAAAATCCTATGGGACAGGTTAAGATAAGCCCAGGTTCCCACCACACAGTGCTGCAACTGTTAAGCTATCTTCTCTCTTAGCCCATCAAGTGTTCTCAGCTCACAGAATAGTTCAAGGTTCAGAGGTTTGTTTTTAAAAAGCAAGTGTATTTAAATATATTAGATCTGTATATTCAATGCTGCACAAGTACTTTCAAAGATTGAATTGAGTTTAGATACAGTTTTAGGGGTATATTTAAAAACCCACAAAACTGCACCTCACTGTACTTACAGGTTCCATTTAATTCTTTACATTATGCAGAGATGGATGAAGTTCTGAACAACCTTGACTGCCAATAACTTACAGTCCACTAGAAGGCACTCCTGTCTAGGTTATCAGTTGAGAAACATTATACAAGCCAGACACGCAGTCATACCTCGCTTTGGCTTTTTTCCTGGGAAATTCCAGTTTCAAAGTTGCAGGAACATCTTTAAGCAAATTAAAAATATTAGGAATGGATTGTTTACTCATATTTGGAAGATGTAAAGAAGCCTATCAGGTCCACTGGTATGAATGCCTATATAACTTCATATATTTTAGTAGATTTCAAATGCATAAAATTTTACCTTTTACTATATTTACCTTTGCTATGGAGGTAAACTTTTCTACTTCCATATTAAACAGAAGTTATAGTATTACAAACACCAATTGCTTAATATGAAAGCTTGAGAGTATGCAAGAGCTAGTGATTAATAAAAAAAATAAAAATAAATAAATAATAAATAAGAAGGTAAGAGTTTAAAAAATGCAATGCCTTCATGATGTTGGTAGCAGGAACATAAGATGTAGTACTGCACCATGCTTTTTCTACCATTATCTAGGTATTAGGAAGCCTTCAGAGAAACTGACGTTGTACAAACTTGTAAGTTAATGCATGTTGCAATGAGTGGCACTAGAAATTTAAATAAGATATTAGGAACTGCTGCACAGGATTTTGCAATTGTGGCTTTAACATCTTGATCAATTCTCATTACAAGCATTTTAGAAATGGAGTTAAGTGACCTTGTTTATCTGGGCAATTAGTTGGACTGTGGAGGAAAATGTTCAGTTGTAATTATATACACATGAAGATACGAAAGAGGAAATAGACTTCATCTCAAAAAGCAGAATATACAAAGTTTGATCTAACCCCTTAATACACACATCTTTAGTATTTTTTGTAAAAGAACTATGTTTAGCATATGTTAGTTATGCTGTATACCCTGTTGCTGTAATACTATTAGTAGACAACTTTTGAGAACACACCAGTAATTGGAATTAAGTGGCTGAAGTACTAGTAATCTACACTGGCAATACTTATTGCTCAGTATCATGCAGTTTGAGTTTCAGTCTACAACATTCAGCCAGCAGATGATCCAGGTACTCTGCCTTAATTGTGGAAAGCATTTACCAATAAATACTATAGATGTTTTTGTCTGGTTTCATAGAAGTCCTAGAAACTGGAATATTTTTGCCACAGTTAAAAGTCCGAGGAGCCTGTTTTCCTCCAGTCACTTACAAAACTTGAATTCTTGATTCATTTTGCTGTTAAGTAAAAGTGGTCAGATTTAGAAAGTCTGAGTATGCATAGTTCTGCATATAAAAAAAAGTGATCCACAGATTGAGACAAAATAGTTGGCTTTATTAATATACTATAGACATCTGATGCTTAAAGACTGCAAAAGCCTTCCCCTTCCCCAAAACCTGGAGTAACTTCGTTTAATTTCATAGACATCAGGGCTGGAAGGGACCTCGGAAGATCATTGAGTCCAGCCCCCCGCCCAAAGGGCAGGAAGTCAGCTGGGGTCATAGGATCCCAGCAAGATAAGCATCCAGTTTCATCCTGAAGGTGTTCAATGAAGGCGCTTGAACCACCTCCGGTGGCAGGCTGTTCCAGACCTTGGGGGCTCAGACAGTAAAGAAGAAGTTCTTCCTTATGTCCAGCCTGAAACGATCTTGAAGTAGTTTCTGACCATTTGACCTAATCATCCCTTGGGGCGCTCTGGTGAACAAATGTTCCCCCAGATGCTGGTGGTCACCCCTGACAAACTTGTAGGTGGCCATCAGATCACCCCTGAGCCTGCGCTTTTCCAGGCTAAAGAGCCCCAGGGCTCTCAGCCTGTCATCGTAGGGTCTGCTTCCCTGACCTCTGATCATGCGCGTGGCTCTTCTCTAGACTCTCTCAAGCTTCTCCACATCCTTTTTGAATTGTGGAGCCCAAAACTGGACACAGTACTCCAGCTGCAGCCTCACTAAGGCCGAGTACAAGGGGAGAATGACATCCCGGGATTTGCTTGAGAAGCATCTATGGATGCAAGCCAGCGTTTTGGTCGCTTTACTAGCCGC